TAACTTCGTGTCCTTGTTTGATTTATAGAACGACTCGTTTCATAACTTCGTGTCCTTCTCAACAATTTGAAGCCAGGTAACCAAGTTCATGAGTGAACTGAAGTTCCACCAGAACCCTCTGGTCCCGTGTCATGGCCGACACGTGCTGCGTTCAAGTCGCTTCTGTTCATGCACCGTCTGTTTTACCTCCTTTAGGTGATGAAGATGAAGAGGATGGCAGCGAAGGAAACGATGACGAGGAAGAAGAGTGCCTGAGCTCTGACCTTCATCCTGCAGCGAAAAGATCCAAAAACACCTGAAATTTCTATTGTTTATTATTGTTACAATAAAGTTTCCATGGTAACCAGTGTCTCATGTCATAAATACAGAAAAACACAATGTGAAAATACTGCGCGCTGATTGGTTGGCAGTGGAACCACAGGTAGATGATTGACAGCTGCAGGGTGACAGTCCGTACTGAGGCAGTGATGACGTCACCTAGAAAAGTGTTTGTTAAAAGGCACACAGGAAGTGACATCATGTCCATCTCTCTCTACATGTGGATAAGCAAGCCAGCTCTTTGATTGGTCGGTTTGGTGTGGCAGCGGCTCCACAGCAGGACGATGCAGACAGGAAGTACGCAGTATCCGACGGCGTGGGGGTCGGCCCTCGTGCACGAGAATAGGAAGAGGAAGAGCTGCAGGTACGGCACCAGGAAGACCGACGCCCACATCCAAAGAGGAAGTGGTGGAAGGTGGGCGAGGACTGCAGGAGGAAGAGCCAACGAGTCGACCCCGTCCCTCTGCACGCGCTCAAGACTGACGACCTCGAAGACGCAGAACGCCGCCACGATGCTGAGGAGGAGGAAGAGAGCCACGCCCACCCAGCCCATCCTCTGCCGGAAGTTCATCATCCTCCATACTGCAGAGAGAAAACAAGTTCATCATCCTCCTCCATACTGAGCCTGGTTCTGCTAAAGGTTTCCTCTTCATGAGGGTTTTTCTTCCCACTGTCGCCTTCATGCTTGTTCAACACGACAGTTCTGTGATGGAGTTCAACCTTTGTACAGGTCGGTGCCATCGAGTCCCACGACTCGTCGACACACCTGATTTAACAGATGACCACAGGACAATCAAAGGAGGGGTCATTTTAGAAACCCTTCATTTTAGAAACCCTTCATTTTAGAAACCTGTTCATTTTAGAAACCATTCATTTTAGAAACCTGTTCATTTTAGAAACCTATTCATTTTAGAAACCATTCATTTTAGAAACCCTTCATTTTAGAAACCTATTCATTTTAGAAACCTGTTCATTTTAGAAACCCGTTCATTTTAGAAACCTATTCATTTTAGAAACCCTTCATTTTAGAAACCCTTCATTTTAGAAACCTATTCATTTTAGAAACCTGTTCATTTTAGAAACCATTCATTTTAGAAACCTGTTCATTTTAGAAACCCGTTCATTTTAGAAACCCGTTCATTTTAGAAACCATTCATTTTAGAAACCTATTCATTTTAGAAACCCTTCATTTTAGAAACCTATTCATTTTAGAAACCATTCATTTTAGAAACCTGTTCATTTTAGAAACCTGTTCATTTTAGAAACCTATTCATTTTAGAAA